GCTTCAAACAAAAATATAGGTTGCAAGAAAAGTGGCAATTTCCTGCCAGTGGCATGAAATATAGCCTGATCCCTTTTCCAGCAATGTACTTGGAAGACAGCAACATGTCTTCTTGGGCTGCATTGCCCCCATGAGCGGGCTGGCTGGCTGTCTTTGTTCATGCAGCTGTTATCACTACTAAGATGTCAGAATATGCAGAAGTCATCAGTTTCTGGATGAAAAGCAGCTGCCTCAAACTCCACATAGGGCCGCTTTGGCATTTCCTTAATAATGTTAGATTCTTCAAGAAAACCTTAGAGATCACTTTCTTAAACCCTGCCTTTCTAAGGAGGGAAGGCATGCGGCTCCAATCATTGGAAGGATTACAAACCTCATAGAGCTTACAATAATCACCAAAGCTGGACAAGTAGTTACCTGCAGTAAGTAAAATTTCTTCTTTTACATTCCACCTAAAAGTAAACTGTAGAACATGTAGTTGGACCTAGTATGCACATTGTATGAATCTTCTTCCAAATGCTGGGAGCTGATGCATTTCAAGATGAACATCTACACATAGGGATTTCAGCTGGTATAGAACATGGCTGGATGTCTTCAGGCATTTTTCATTTTTTAGTTTTGCAGCACGGTCCAAATCCTTAGATTTCTCTTTTAATAGAAACAATGAAGGGCATTTCTGATACTCTTTAGATGCCATGTGCCTCCTGAGAACTGCAGGTTCAAAGGGCTTATATCATTTATTTGCGTAAAGAGAGTGTTGGAAGAACAAGCTAACCCTTAGAAAATGGCAATTACCTGCTAGGTACCGTGTTCTCTGTGTTGGGTAGAATGATTTTGTATTTCCCCTAAAGGTCAGAGCACATTACATATTCATGTTCTTGTATTTCAGCAGAAAACTTAAATGGTATGTTTTGGGGGGCAGCTTATAATGAAGCTAGCCATTTTATAAAATATGTCAGTTCATCTTGGAGGAGGAGAGAAGATAAATGTTCTGAACCTGCCAATGTAACTTAAAAAAAAAAAAAAACCAAATAACAAACAACCCAGACTTTTAGCTCCCAGTCACTGTTTACAGTATATCAAACAGTAAATGGTTGGGTAGCAACAGAGCCTCGAAGAGAATATGTAGCCATGTGCAGGTGAATTGGGAAAGCTTGTGGTGCCGTGCAGGTTTACAGACTACTTGTCATGGGTAGAAGAGCCCAGCAGATGTTGGCTTCTCTACCGCTGTTCAGCCGGGGAGCAGAAACCCTGTAGAACACGGAGGGTGTCTGGGGAGGAACCTTTCTAACACTCATTTATTTAACTGCAGTAAGCCATGCAGATAAACTGAAGCCAAATTTGGAAGATTAGTTATAAAGATCCTGCATACTTCTAGTGTGTTTTAAGGATAATTCCTTCTATAAATATGCATGCAGTAGTTTCATTAAAATTTGCATTTTGAACCAAGATGATTATGCTATTCAAATGTGGAATTACTTGCATCTTTTATTTAAATGCCTCTAAAGTCAGGGGAAACTTCAGTCTCTTAACTGCTTCAAACTGCAGTGGCTATGGTAATTGAACCAATAGTATTTAGAAATACAATCACAGTGTTTAAAACAAAAAAAAGTGTAGGTTCTAGTGAGATTTGAGAATGAAGTATTTGCTGGTGATAATATTAGAAACAGGAAGGACTCAGTGCCTGTGAGAGAATCCCACAGAACAAACTTGCCAGTATTAAAGGACAAGATGTTTATGCTAAGAAAACTCATCCCTTTGACCCAGTTTTTCCAACGTGCCGATTGACATAAGTTTCCTGATTCACATTTTCTTTAGTTTGAGCACAGGAATCCTGATTTCAGTGTACATGTTAATGGCATGAATTTAATGCATAAAATGGATGCGTGCAGATACTTTGAACTTGAAAAATTTTTGTCCTGGTGTGCATTGTATAGAAGATTCTGAACAAGTCACTTCAGTACTTTTTTGTCTGTGTTGCTAATGAGGATCATTCTGTGTGCTTTTTTCAAGATCAACATGGTAATTTTACTAGATCCAAGTTATACTTTGGCCAGTGAAAGCTGATCAAGAGTGCCTTACTTGAGTCCGAAAACCAGATGACAATTACACATCAACATTTAAAATGGACTTGGAGCATTTGGAATTTAGTTACAGCTGCTATTACATGACTAAGATAACTTTGTTAAAGTAATCACTGGAAAAGATTTGAAGTTAGTAATTAGCTGTTCACAGTAAGTGAATTACATTTGTATTTTAAACCATTTCATGCTGTTGTAGCAAAGACTATGATGCAGTCTTCAGGTATCACAAAGGTACATGACCTTGTTTTTTAGCAGTGGGGTAATACAAGCACCATAGGAGTAATCCCCTTGAAATCAGTAAGGTCATGGTAGATTTTTACAGGCATGTGGTAAACAAAGATGGAATTGAGAGGTGTTATTATGAGGTTTTGCTATACTGACTGTTGAAAACTTGACCTTCTTACGCTTGGCAATATTTTGAGTGTGGGAGAATTTTCTCCCTCCTGCCACCCCATTTCAGTTTGCAACGTCGTTTGTGTGCTGCTTGTGTATTTTCATGCTATAGGTATGTGAAGTGTTTTGCCTGTGCTCTGTGCATCTGTGAATTTAAGTATGGAGGCAAGTAAGGACTCAGGAAAAGGTGTTAGTTTTCATGATATCTCTAAGATAAGGTTTTCTTTAAATACTGCCTTTTTAAATGTTCTTAAATGTTCATATACTTGCTATGTCAACTCTTGGCAACATCACATGTATTTTGATGTGTCCTGGTTTCAGCTGGGATAGAGTTAATCTTCTTCCTAGTAGCAGGCACAGTGCTGTGTTTTGGATTTAGTAGGAGAAGAATGTTGATAACACACTGATGTTTTAGTTGTTGCTAAGTACTGCTTATGCTAGTCAAGGACTTTTCAGCTTCCCATGCTCTGCCAGGTGCACAAGAAACTGGGAGGGGGCACAGCCAGAATAGTTGATCCAAACTGACCAAAAGGCTGTTCCATACCATATGATGTCATGCTCAGTATATAAACTGGGGGGGGGCCACAATCGCTGCTCAGGAACTGTCTGGGTATCGGTGGGTGGGTGGGTGGTGAGCAATTGCATTGTGCATCACTTGCTTTGTATATTATTATTATATTGTTATTATTATCATTACTATTTTACTTTATTTCAATTATGAAACTGTTCTTATCTCAACCCAGGAGTGTTTCTCACTCTTACTCCTCCGATTCTCTCCCCCATCCCACCGGGGCAGGGGGAGTGAGCGAGCGGCTGCGTGGTGCTTAGTTGCTGGCTGGGGCTAAACCATGACATAATGCCATTCCTAAAATAGTGTCACGGTCTTCTACTCAGAGAGAAGTGTACTGATCTCGTTTCTACTTGGCTCTTCCATATACAATCCAGAGAAAGCTGTTCAGCCTTTTTCTTCCTGTATCCCAGTCTAAATGTGGATATTAGCAGCTTCCTCATTACATGATGTTGATTACAGTTAAGGTGTGTTTGGGTTCAAGGTGTTATAAAAATGCGTACCACCTTTCTGCTTTTGTTTCTAATACTCTTCAGTACCTGCCCTAACAAAGAAGAGAAGTCTTGTTTGCAGAATTTGCAAATCATCCTTCTAATAGGAAACATATGCTAATAGATAAAACCCAAACTTCAGTAATTTGCAGGACTTTTTTCTTTGTGTTTACTTTGGGAGTTCTTTGTTTTCCTCTGAACAATATGGCAAGGTCTACTAACAGCTGTTTTTCTATTATACCTGTGGGCAAGCCAGTAATTGCACTTGCTTCAACTAATAGCCTCAGCATTTCTCAGTGGAAGCAGCCAAATCCCAGTTCAAGTCATCTTTACTAGTGAATTTCTAGCTTTCTTCTGTGCCCAGCCATGTTTCAGTACAGAGCTTCATGAAGTTGAATCGGCAAGTTGTACAAGCCTTCTCTGAATATGCACATCCTGGGTGGGTTTTTTGGCCTTGCAGTAGGATCATGCATCAGATAGTTGCTTCAGTTTATCTGGGGTGGAGGTAAACCTCTAAAACTAGATCACTTTTATTTGAATTTTTTAGCTGTGCAGAGGCAGTAGGTATGATTTTACACCCTTTATGACTGCAGTACATTTATTTTGGCTAACACACCTGGAAGACACCTGGAGTTAACATACAGCTCTCCTAAGCAGTGTTGTGCTTAGTATCCTCATCACAATACCCAGTTCACCTTTGCTGGGCAGGCATCAGCTGAGGATGTGTTGGCCTCCCTTGCTTTCTGGACCACGCTGGTCCTTGGCCTTACTGAGCTGTCTTCCGAGTCTTGGGGGCGGGGTTTCCCTCAGTGATTTTTATGCTTTTTCCCTGTGTCCGTCCTTGCCCCTCCCCTCCCCACCCCCTGCTGTGTTTCTTTCCTGAGTTACTAGTAGAGTCTCAGTAGTTTCAGTTCTGTCAGGTTTGGGGTTTTTTTTTTTTTTTTTAGTTATTTTATTTATTTATTAATCTTGCATGGCTTCAGTTTATGTACTAGCAGAGTCAAGGTTGGACATCTGTTTCTCCCAAAACTGCAGCCTGGGACACAGATACCTAAAGTCATAGGCATAGTGAGTTAACAGGAAGAAATGCAAGTGATAAATAGTTATATAGTAGCAAGTCCTACATAGAAGACAATGTAAAAGGTAGCCTTATTTTTAACATATTTTCACATTCATTGATGACTGTTATTTAATTTCTTTTCCTTTGTGATCCAATAGAATAGTGAAACTGGGGCACCACAATGCAGTTTTGCTTCAACATGATCAAAACATTAAGAACGTTTCAAACTAGGGCTGAAATTGCAGTTGTAGAAAGACAATTAATTTTGCCACATTTTATTTTACCTATGTATCTGAAAATCTGGATTATAAAATTATGAAAAACAATGACAGCTTAGAATGTTTTATTCCAACATTTTATATTGCATTTGCTTCTGATTTATCTAATTACCTTTCTGCTGTTCTTAGGAGATTCTCAAGAATGAAAATTATAGAGAAGAAATGAAACAGAAAATCAAAGAGGTAGCTGAAAAGGATAAGCTGCTTCAGGCCAAGGAATACAAGGAGGGACTTGTTGCTGAACCTGTTCGTACTCATGTTAAAGGCCACGCATCAGCCCCTTACTATGGAAAGGAGGAGCCTTCGCAAGATCCAACAAGCACTGCGAGTACCTTTCAGCCAGGCTCCTGGATGCCACCAGGCAGCAGTAGTAGTCGTAATAAATAAACAATTGTAATGTACAGATATTGCTAATGGATAAATATTTTAACAGGCAACATAAACAGCTGTTATGTATGAGTGAGTGTGCAATAAAGTGATATTAAAGCAGTTTGATTTATTTTTGCAGAACTGTTCAAATAGGCTTACTCATGACAAACTGTAAAATGCTTGGCTGTAGTGAAAAACAGGATGTGTTACTAAGTAAGTTTGTTTTCAACAGTTGCTGTTCATCAGTTACTTGTGAAATCATAGGTAGAAGGTTTTCTAGCTAACTTAATTTTCTTAAATAATTTTAAATTGTTTTTTCCTTGAAGAGTCATTTATTTTTAAAATTGGTTTTGATGCAATGCATTTTAGTTAATCAGTACACTTGTATTTTCCCAAACCTAGACGTCAGTTTAAGATAGTTCTTTAGAGTGCTTGTTAATTCCCTTGGCAGTGCCAGTGTGCTTTCCTCTGGCAAGTGGATGGAAAAGTTGATTTCATTAACAGGAATCACTACAACACTACACTGACTATGCACTGTATTAATTGTAGAGACATTCTTGTAACTTAAATTTAAGAAAACAATCAACATATTTGAATAATGTTTGATTTGCAGCCAGCAGTATGCACAGGATAAAATCAGGCTGAGTTAAACTATGCATAACTATTATAACAGAGGTTAGAAGCACTTGGTAAAGTCACTGAAAAGTAACACAGGGTTTGGGACAAGGGACTGTCATTAACATTAAAAAAAAATTAGTTTTTATTTCTGGTGTATGCGGGGACTGCCCTAGATGATTACATCTATCTGGCTATAGTTTAGAGACATAAAATGTGCAGATTATTTGCTTAGAGATGATGTTGGAGAGTATCAAGTCAAAATAAAGACCACACAATTCTTTGAAAAAAGTATCAAATTTATTTATGCAGTGCATCCTTCATCAGTTCTCCTCCATGTGTTTTTAAGCTATGTAGGTATCAAAGGTGGAACACATACACGTTTGACAACACTTGAGACAAAACAGTGGAGACTTAATCCCATGTATTTATAAAATACTGAAATGCCATATTCTAACAATGCTTGCTTTGACCAACAAAACTGAAAGAGGGTCAACAATGCCTCACATTTATTTTAAGTCATTTCAGTTAGGCTCCCCACTTCTAATCCCCCTTTGTGTCAGCCAGCTCTATAGGTCTCCTCATTTGAACAATGGTATTATTTTAAGATTTTTAAACATAAGGAGTAGTTTCTAGAAAGCACAACTCTCTGCTGCTGTTTAGAAATATGCTAAGTCTAAAAACCTAATGACTGTACAAGCTCTTTGGAACTAGACTTATTAATAAAAATTAGGCTCTGAAAAATTAATTGCTTCTGTTAGAAAAACTTGACTTGGAATTAAGGTTAAATAATTTTGGCATGTTTACAACGCAAACCCCACTTAGACTTTTTCCAGTATTCCAGCATCTTGCAACCTGGAAGGCAGCAGAGTTTTAGGGGCCATGAGAACAAAGATCAGAAGGTCCTAAATCAAAGGTAGTTGGAAGGGAAGAATGACTGTCACCGGCGTGCCCATCCTCCTCCTCTACTCTCCAGCAGCCACCTGCTCTAGGTCACCAGGACACAGCACACCAGGCCACCCGTGCCTTTGGTGCCACCCCATTTACAGCTATTCTTTGAGGCAGAAACAAATTAGTTAAAGGTGGAGGGTTCAGGTGATCATTAGGGAAAACCAAATGACATCATAGTCTGTTTTGTAGGACACAAGACAAATGAAAGTCTTAAGAACAAGCAGTCTGCTTCTCAGAATTTGGGCTGAATTTAAAGACTGTTGATGGCTGGTAGCTCAGGGATCAGGAAAAGCCAAGTTAGTTTCTTTCTGCAGACAAGCCCCACCATGAAGGGCACACAGATGAACAAGCCGCAGGGCCACGTGCAGCATCCTTAGAGGAAATCAGTAAGGTATGCTACCAAACTCTAAAGCCAGCTTGTGTCTACAGCTCTGCTGAAGGTATACCAAAACTTGCCTTTCTGTAATCCAGTTTACCGTTCACGTTTTCCCCGTAATTTGACAATTTTAAGACACTTGTTAAGTCACAGCTTAGCTAAGGGGGGGAAAAAAAAAAATCTACCTCCAGAGCCACCCAACAAATTATTTTTTTTAATTTAACATGCAAATTCAGAAAACCAACATGCACTAGAACACAAGTAGTAGATTAAATGATTGTAACAAGTGTCACTTGGGCAAACTTTAACACAGATCATCTCAGCAGAAAAAATACACCAACGGGATTAAATTTCATACTTCAAGAAACAACAGGATCAAGTATCAAAGGACAGTTACAACACAAAATGTAGAAGTGTTTCATTTAAAAAGTGGATTCTTTGCACAAGGCCACCTTTTTTTTTTCCTCCCCATTTAATCCTTCTTCGTTCGTTTGGCTTTTGCAATATTCTCTTGGCGTTTCTGTTTCTTCTTTTGCTCTCGCTCCCTGGCCTCAATCATTTTTGCAAGCTTCCACGAAAGCCCTGCGCTAATTACAAACAATGGTGTAAGGGCCAAGATCACTGTAGTAAGAAAGCCATATGGGTCCTTTGCAGCCCACTCCACGACGTATTCGGCCCAAGCCTTAATATCGAACATTTTTTCTGTTTTTCTATTGGGAAAACCCTATGAAAAAATAGAAAAAAAAATTCTGAGTATTGAGAAAAATAAAAGCACGCATACGCAGCAATTACCATTTTAATGTAAGTGATCATCTTTCGTTATTAAAGAGCAAGCTCATTTTTGCTAGAAGTTAAAAGTAGCACGTGGTACGTGAAAGGAAGCGTAATACAAACTAAGTGTCGACCGTACCGTACAGTGTTTACAAAATAATTAGGCGTTTTGTACCACAGAGCTTCAGATACTACCAAGAAAAAAATGGCTACGCGGAGAAAAACCGAGGTCTGCGCTTCTTGGAAGAGAGCCCCGTCGGTTTGTC